TGAAGCAAATCAACCGCATGATTCTCGACGCCAAGTGCAAGGCAGTTAGAGAGGCCCAGATCCAAGAAAAGCAGCTTATGGCCAAGGCCCTACGCGAAGACGACGAGCGCCTCGCCAAGATGGAAAACGAGCGAGCGAAGGAGGCCCTCAGTGCCGAAGATGAGCGAGAGCGCCTGGAAATCGAAAAGCGCGCAAAGTACGCACAGGAAATTCGTCAACAGCTGAGCGAGCGCGAAAACAAACGCTTCCTGGAGGCCCAGCGGGTAGCGGATGAAGCCAAGCAGCTGCGCAAGGCGAGCGAGCTGTTGCGTGAGGAGGAGGAGCGCCAGCGGAACTTTGTGCAGCTACGCAAGGCGCGCTTCCGCGAAGAACTACAGCGGATACGTGACATGTCGAATGTTTTCAAGACCATGCTCAGGGAGCAGGAGCGCTTGGCGGACCTGCGGGTGGCTGCCTACATGCGCGAGAAGCAGGAGAAGGAGCGCCAGCTGCAGGAGATGCAGAAGGCAATGAAGAAGCAGTTCGAGAGACGACAACAAAGCATCTTCACAATCGCCACGGAGGCCCAAGAATCACGCCAGACCAACGAGGAGCTTAAGTATCTTAGGGAACGCAATCGAGTGGAGCGCGAGTATCGCCAGCGGGAGAAGGAGATGGCAATGGCCAAGCGCGAGGCCGAACGCGACTTGCTTCAGAGTCGGGCCCAACAGGCGCAGGAAATGAAGCAGCGCCTCGCCCAAGAGATTGCGCACGCCGAGGAGGACTTCAACCAGTTGTTGACACGCATGCGGGACGAGGAGGAGAAGCAGAAGAGGCTAGACCAAGAGCGAGAGCAGCGCACTCAGGCATATCGGAGAGATCTGAAGCAACAGATGACAGACAGGCAAGAGGAGCGACGTCGCCTGACGGAGATCGAGCACGAGCGCATGCAGAAGTGGATGGAGCAGGAGCGCCAAAGGGATGCCAACATCAAGCAGGTGATCACCTCTAAAATTGCATCTATGCGCGACAACTGCCTGCCCGAGAAGTACCTGCAGGAGGTGGAGAAGCAGCTCAAGAAGATTCAAAGCAGTCGCAATCGCATTCGCTGAGGTCCCAAATCGACCGACAGCACAATACCAGCTCATGGGACGAGCTTACAATGCATAGCTTTCGGCGGACATTTGCGGTGATCAATGGACATCGACATTTCAAACCCCTCCTATAACTATGCAATGCGTGTTTTCAAATGAAAGTTAAGTTACTTGAAAGGTATGTGTTTTCAATCTTCATCTTCATCCTTTTATTAAAAAAAATTTATAAAAATGATACAAAAGAAATTTTAATTTGAAAACAATAGCACAAAGACTTTAAATTAATGACCCAATACTTTTTTTACGACTTTAATAATGTTTGAGCATTAGAATTTATTGCATATTTGCTTATAAAATGTTTGGGAATTTAAGCCTGTTCTATATAGTAAGAGGTGTAGTGAGAGAAATAATGTTAAAATCACATCATAACATTAATAATCACATGAAACTAATAATAACCATAAATTAAAACCCAAAAAATTAAAAAAAAAAATTAAAAAAAATAAAAAGAAATAAACCAAATTAATTAATAAAAATAACTAAAAAATATATTTAAAAGAAAAAAATGGAAGCAAAAAGTAAATATAAATATAAAAAACGATAATTGATATGTACTGGAGTTTAAGACTTGATCAAGTATTCTATTTTTATTTAATGTTTGTTTCTGTTACACAGTAAAATGCTTATACATTAATAATACAAATACAAGATATGTATATTTATATTTGCATCCATTTTTATTTTTGAATTGATTTCAGTTTGACTCTGATTTTGTCAATACATATTATTCAATAAATATATTCCAGAGAAGGTTATTAAGCAACGCAACCGTAAATTATAGTAAGACAGTACAATAGATTCGAGTACAAATATATGATTTATACGAAACATTATAATATATACAAAATAATTATATATATTTCATTTCTTTTAAATATCTGTTTAGAACCAAATAAAGAAAAAATTAGTTGTGAGTTTGTAGTTTGTACGAGTGCAGGTTGCCATGGGAGGTGTTCTTTGTAGCGATTCTTGTTTTGTTGCGCCGTCATACGATTCGAAGCATACATGTGGAAGGAAAGTTGTCGAAATGGCAGCCCCGCCCAAAAGTATACTACACAATTTGGGATACCCGCAAGCCGCAGCTCAAATTAGTGGAGCTGAAATCAAAGGCATTGACGATAACCATGACATTGTTGCGTGCGACACAGTTAAACACCCGGCAGGACATGCCCAAGACATCCCATTCCCGCGCACAGTCCGCTAATTTCTTAGCATGTGGGTGTTTAGTTTGCCATTCTCTCAATGCATTCAATGGCTCCCGGAGGCAAGCACACACATGCACATGCACACACACATACACACAACAATTACGAGAGCTACAGATGGCAAAAACTACGCCGCATTCCCCGTCTCCTATCCGTGAATGAGTGGTAGCAACTTTTGGTTACAATAAAATTTTATTATGCCAGACACATACGTGGCACACACACCCACACCCACACCCACACCCACGCCTCCACACACGCACACGCACACGCACACACACATAGGGGCAAACAAAGCAGCCACCGATGCTGAAAGTTGAAGATGGCTCCTCCACTGCCTGACGACGATGAAGTCTTGTGCATGGTTCAATTATCGTATTTCATGATTCGTTAAATTTTCGCATACGCCAAAAAATACGCAAGACATTGCTAGACCCACCTCCCGTCGCGTCCTGCTCACACACCGCCGCTGCTGCTGGCGGGCAAAGAAAATCCAAACTGAAAAACAGGTTTTCCCCTAGCAACCATTGTGATGTCTACCTACAATGACGCTGACGCTGGAGACGGGCTGGAAAACTGCCAGACGAGCTGGCTATTCCCTTCCCCTTCCCTTCCCCTTCCCTGCCCACACCGATGTTCCGCTCCACTCTCTGCTCTATTCGCATGTGGCAGTAATAATTCCAATGACAATAAACGTTGTCGTATTTACAAGTACCAACACACTTGCACCCACACACACACACATACACACTAGCACACTGACATGAATTGATGAGAAAAGTTTTTGAGGAAATGTCAATAGAGTAGCTGAGACAAACTATGCGTCGCTGTCGTAGAAGAGCGCTGTCAGATACAGTGGTAAAATGTGCAGAAGAAACACAATAAATCTGATGCTCAAAGCACAGTGGGGCTGCCAGAAGCAGCTATCAGCCAGTTCACGATTCAATGTTGCACTTATGGAGCCAATTAAATACCAAGGCTGCAATCAGTTCAATCTGTATTTAAAAAGTACTTCAGTTTCGATCAAATTTTGGATTAGCTTTCGCTTTTTGAGTTTCATTGAGTTTCGCTTGCGAATGGGGAATACTTCAGACTTATGTAAATATAGCCGTAGCTGCTGCTCTGATTTGATTCCTGCCCACTGTTCGGCATATTTGCCATTTATAAATATCATGAGTGGCAAAAGGTAAAAAGGCAAGAAAACAGATATTGTACGAGTAATTGGAAAAAGGGAGGAAAATTGCAGCAGCTGCACTGCACCGCACTGCACTGCACTCAGCACTCCGGCGGAGCACTCACTCGTTCCATATTCAAAAATTTATCTGCAAGATTGCACTCGATTGTTTTGTATTTGGCGGGAGGGGAATGGGATTTTCCGTTTCGTTTTCTGTTGTGCTTGAAAATAAATTGCTTGGCTTTGGTTTTGCGTGCTATTCGTAAGGCTTTCCCTCGGTGCTGTGGCTCCATTTCGGGCTTTGATTTCGTGCGCACCGCTAAACCACAAAAGACTTTTGTACTTCAAAGCGGCAGTTATCTCGTAATGTATCTGCGTCTCTAGCTGTATCTATATGTTCGTATGTGCTGGGCTAAGTGTGCTCATATCTGGGTGACTAGGAAATGGGCCTCAATTACATAGCTGAACATCAATCGTGCTGATGCGCTGCTTGGGGGCAAAAATCAATATCAATTGGCAAACTCTGCTGATTATGCCAGGGGCAGATAGATTCGCCAACACGAATTGGTGCCGGAAATTGATTCAAATGCTTATAGATCAATTGAAAGCTATTTGTATATGGCATAAAATCAAATGAAATTCTTGGCTCCTCATCTGCATTCCGGGCCAAATTATTGTTTAGTCGAAATTGTTTAATGTTACTGGCGCCAAGCCTCTTCATAAGGGAACCTTTGTTTATTGTGATTCACTTATCAGCCCAGGCATGCAAAAAGAAACACGTTCTCTGTGGAGCACCCACCCCGGGTGCGAGCCACCTAGACGTTGTACTATTTGTACTAGTAAGTCCTTATCAAGTGATTAGATACGAAGCCCCTCTGGTGCACCCAGCCTAGCAGAGGAACTGTTTGTCGTGTGTCTACAGCGTATATTATGACCACAATTACATATTGGCTCTATCGACAACAGCTATCGCAACTGCGTGTCGCTTTGTCTTATCTGGCGCTCTTCTATCTGATTCTTGTGTTAAGGAATTTGCGAGATAGGTTTCCTCGAAAGTACGCACACTAGTTGAAAACCAATAAACAGTTCAGGGCGATTTGTGCTATAAAGCAGATTATGGACCTTATAGAGAGAGTTCTACAAATCATATTAAAGTAATTCGTTTATTTAATGTAATGGACAAACAAACACTAAACATAATTAACATAAAACAAATAATTATTAATAAATCTGTTCATAAATCACTCGACTCGAGCACTAATAAATCTTTAACACAAACTACAGCTAGAACATTTCAGATGACATTGCATTGCTTCTTAAAAAGAGTATACAGGTTTCTCGCAATGGAAGACGAGCATATCAATTCATATGTACCCTATTTCATTAGGCTCGAAAATCCGAATAATAGATGCGCCATGAACGAGCATTGCGCAGTTGCTTGGACTGTGGCGACTCGACTTACTTTTACTTTGTTCAATATTTTTACTGCCTTATCGACTCAGTGGCTATCGCAAGGCATTCGAAACTATTCGACGCGAACGTCGACGTCGACGACGCTGCCTGAAGATTGTATCAGCTGATTGGGCAGCCGCACGCTGCAGCAGGCCGCCATCTGCTCACTTCAAAGCGGCAGCTGCGGCATTGTTTACTAACAAACAAGCGGCAGCCGCCAAGCGCCGAAGGAGTTGCTGCCGCTGAGCCAGTATATCTCTGATTCGGGCCACTCTACAATGGATGTGATTGCGAAGCGCTGAGAGCGCGGGCTGAGCTACTGAAGAGTCGCTATGAGGACGAAGTGCTGGACATCTGTGCATGAGCGCTTTGATAAGAATTATTTTGAGTCGCCGTTCGCGTTCCATGCCCACGGTGCGAGCGGCCGTTGCACAACGTCGGATTTCGTAAATCATTAACGGCATGCGGCATGTGCATATCAGGTAAACAGTGCGCCGCGCGCTTATCACATTTTGGTTAGCTTCGATTTCTAATGGAAAAATAGTCGAAATAGCTTCAGCCTATGAGACCCCATCTCTGCCAGATCTGTCGGCTTAGACAGCATTCGGCAGGCTCAACGGCAGCACTGCTCCACTGGGCGGTGGCGTTGCTGAACGTGATGTGGGCGACTTATTATAGCTGTCGCTGTCGCTGCCATCGCTGCCATCGTTGCCGTTGCTGCCGTCGCAGTCGCAGTCGACGTTGACTGCGTGGTCGATATCGTGATCGGCCTGATCATCGACGTAGTTGAGTCCATAGTCCAGCGACGCGGCCGTGTCGGAAGCCGCAGCCGCAGCCGCAACCGCAGCGCCTGCTAAGAAGTGCACCTTGGTCGAAGCCGTCGAATTGTTATTCTCGGCCAGCAGCTGGCGGTGGAGATGGTGGTGCCGATGGCGGTGTCGATGGTGGCAGCCAGTGCAGATGGTCGGCGCAACGGGACTGGCCGCGTGGGGTCGCACATGCAGCAGATCGCCCACATAAATAGCCGTGATCGTCGCATAGACGACGCCCAGTAAGGCGCCCGCCAGCACGTCCGACCAGTGGTGCCAGTAGTCGGCGACGCGGCTCAGCGAGACGTACCAGGCGGCCATGAGCAGCAGGAACTGGAGTATGTGGCGCATGACGCGCACGCTGCCCCGCCCCTGCCATACACTGTGCACGTAGAAGGCCAGCAGGCACATGGAGTAGAAGCTGAGGCTGCTGTGCGCGCTGGGAAAGCTCACGTGGAGCTCGCGTATCTGCTGCGAGGAGAGGTTGCGGTTGCTGCAGTAGAACTGCTGCACGTACACGTCCGCATTGTGGGCATCCGCGCAGCTCGAGCCGTCGTGCAGCCGCGGCTGGCAGGCACTGTAGAAATGCGGACGCAGTCGGCCCACCACGTGCTTGGCCAGCTCCGTGGTCAGGAAGGTGGCGATGAAGCCGAAGCTGAACGTCGCCTGCGAGCGCCACAGATTGCGCAGGTATTTCCGCATGCGCAGGTGCCTGCAGCGGCGCATTATCTCCACCACGCTGATGAAGAGCATCGGCAGCAGCAGCATCATTACCAACAGCATGGGCACTGTGATGGTGCACTCGCGGTATGGGTAGCGCAGGGACAGATCCGAGCAGAAGAAGCCGCGCTTGAACGTGCGCATGATTGCGTTGATTCGGAGTTAACTCGGAGTATAATCTGACTCAATGTGGGAGGGCTGGCAGTTTATTCGGAATTATTTCGGAGCTAATTAGGAGTCAACTAATAGTCAATTCGGAGTAAATCTTGAGTTAATTTCAAATCAATTATTATAGTTTCCATTTTCCCAATTTGGAGTTCTCATTAATACACCGGTATAAGTATTTTGTATTGGGAGTCACTAAAAATATTTCATGGCACTCGTTCGTATGAAACTGATTTGAATTGTTCGGCAAAAAGCATATATTTTGTTTTGAAATTGTTTATTGGCTTCCTTATCACTTAAGCACTCACTGATCTACACAATCGGCATGCCTTATGGCATCGTCGGCTTAAGAGCTTTAATCAACAAAAATGTTTGCAAGAGCGACCCGCTTGTTCATTCACTTTTTGGCACTTGGCAGTCACAAATTGCGCTTTCGTTTATTTTCGTAGATTTATCAACTCGAGTCGCTTTCAAGACAGGCATCACGATTTTCAAAGCTCGCGTCAAAAGCAATTTTCTATTGTTTCTGGGAAGCAGGGAAGCTGGGAAGCCGCTTTAATAGCCCGTCGGAATAGTTTTTCAAAGTATTAGCGCGCGCATTTTTTCGGAGTGGGAAATTAAATCAATTGGCCAGAAATGCCACTGTCAGTCGTTCGTCTCTGGCTTAGCTGTTGCCTTTTCTTTTTTTTTTCGCCTGTGGGCTGTGGGTTTCCTGGGCAACAATCTTGTTGGCCGTGTTTGCTTCGTGGTCTAGCCAGAGCTACGCGACGACGCTGACGGTTTGCTTGGGCGACCGAATCTGACTGTGACTGTGACTGCGACTGCGACATCGGCGATCGTGCCGCCGAGCTGCTCAGTCGCGCTGCTGCTGCTGCTGCTGCTGCTGCTGCTGCCGCTGCCGTTAGCTCGTGGAGAACCCACTAAACCCACCACAACTGCGGAGGAGGGTTCTTGTTGTTGTGCGCATTGGTTCGCATTGATATTGAATTTCAATGCTATGTTTTTCTTATCAATTTAGCTACGTCGGTGGCGAGAGCGTCGCGTCGTTAGCGCTTTCGTCTCGGCCTGGGACCAGTGCACTTGTGTTTCTCGGCATCGGTGCTGACGCTAATGAGGAAACTGTTGGATTGTTTCAAGGTTTGCTTTTGCAAAGTTTGCTTAGGCCTGTTTGCCAGAGTCTTGGCATTTGCGCATAATGAAAGAGTTGCATTTACCCGATGAATGCCTACGGAATGAAGGAGTGCCTCCGCTCGAGCAGAGTCTGAGGCAGAAGCTGAGTCTAACCACGACGACTCCCATACCCTGCCTCCCTTTCCAGCTGTAGGTCAGCGCGACGTGACTAAATGGCTGCTGGGCTCTGCTCGGATCGCTTGCTGCGTGTCTTATAGCGATTGTTGATGTAGGTCGTCGCACGGGCCTCTCGAGCAAGCGTAAGCTATGCGCAGATATGGAGACGACGGCGACGGTGAGACCCACTTGAACAAGTACTCCGAATGCTGCTGGGGCTGGCATGTTGCTCCGCAAATGCTGTCCATAAACTGCAGCGACTTTATGGCCACTTTGTAGTCTTACAGCGCATATAGCTTCTTTATGGCAATTTCAACTGCTCAATTTACATAGAAATTGACGCGATTGGGCCGTTCGCTGTTAATTTATGCTAATTTCCGAATAAAGCGAAGTTGAAAATCTGTTGGATTGAGACTCCGCGAGAGACAAGTGAATCATTGCAAATGGATTTAACGATCATATTTCATCTGTACCGGATTGAAGCTAAAGGGCTCAACAGAAAATGTTTTCTTATAGCCTATCTATATATGTATACCTTTAAGATGGTAATAGAGCTTACTCACTTACTTTTGTATACCAGCCTAATGTTATATCTTAGGGAGGGGCTATTTTTACATCTTCTTATTTTCAGCCACGATCCATAATTTAACAGAAAGCATCGATTGTTAAGCTCGAAATGCATTCACGATTTTATCATTCTTAAATTGGCACAATGCAAAATTCCAATTGCAAGATTAAATTGAATGAATTATATACATGGGACCTAAGTAAAAAACGGGTTAACTCATTGTAACCTATACTCTACACAGTTTTTATTTTATTTCATTTTTGCTTTCATTGTAAGCCGATATCAGTGGATTGGATTAAGCACAACGATACCACACAGCCACATCGCAATAAAATACGCCCCACTTCCAGGGCCGAGTAATCCGCAAGCCGCAGATCCACAGCCCATAGCCGTATCAATGAGAAACCGCAGCACGCGCCACAAAAAGCGATCAATGCTGACCTGAGGGAGATAGACGCGAGAGACAGAGAGAGGGACGGAGGGAGGGGCAGGTGTAGAAACAGCACAGCATAACAAAAGGAAAAAGGAAAAGAAACAAAATTCAATTGGATCAGCGAATTTGCAATGTCGCTGCAGTAATACAAACGAATAACAAATAAATATTAATTCAAATTAATTTTTTGCGCAATTCATCAAACGCGCTGAGGCAGCGATTACCCAACGCGACATCGATAAGCGCAAGTGCCCTGTCTGGGCCTGGGTCTGGCTCTGGCTCTGGGCTGTAAATTAAACTACAAAATGCAGTAGCCATTGTAATGTCAACAATCCGAACTGGTTTCAGTCAAAGATCGCCAGCCCATTGAAGCTCGGACCTCATTTCTGTTGGCTCATCAATCCGTAAATCACTTTTTATATTCGTTCGTTAACTTCCCCTTTCGCCTTGCTACCCGACCCACTGGCTATATGTATTACTATAAATATTTACAATATACACACTACTAAGGCACTTAATGCTAGTCAAGCTACAGTCTCGAAACTTAAAATATACATATATTCATGAATTCAATATTCACATCTATTCATCAAAATTATATAGCTGCGCTCATCTCTCACATGATCTCCTCGGCAGATAGATCTATAGATTGCCCACTCATTGGGATGTGGCAAGCCCAAAAATATAGATACCAGTATCTGTTTCAACTAGTAATTATAGCCATTACTGAGCGACTGAGATTTTCGAAGCTAGGATTATCTATAATTTTAGCTGTTGCGTCGATTTTGCATTCGGGCTATGTGAAAAGGTTTCGCAATTCAAGTGGAAAAATTCGAATCGAGAAAGTGTAGGAGAGTGAACGTACGCAACATTCCAATGGGGAGCGACAGGTGTGGCTAATTAGCCAAAGGTGTAAGAATGCGATGCCAATCGCGTAGGCAATCGCAGCCGAGTCCAGCAGCACCCACTGAGCCCCGCGGACGGCGCGATAAGTCCCAATTGTTTGCATCGTGACAATATTTTGTTTTTACTTTTCTCTGGGCTAATTGTTGTTTCGCGGCTTGTTTAGCCGATCCCCCGGCAGCAGGTGTCGCCTGTCTGACAGCCAGGTGGGCTGAGGCGAGCTGGAACTGAAGTAAGTTACTGATAAGAACGAATCGATTCGATAAGAGGCAAATATGAATAATAAGAAATAAATATTACTCAGAAAAAGTATCAAGCCTTTTATCGAACTACGTCCTACAAAATGGAAGTAATTAACATAGTCTCCTACAAGAATTCACACTCTGCGGTCAGAGCAATTGAAGCTCCGAATTGAGAATAAATTGATTTTAATTCTTTGCACGTGCAATGCACCCACAAAGCAAAGGCTCAGCCCAGTTATGAGAATATCGGCAGCGGCCTAGAATGTGCAATTTGTATAATCCGCTATCAATTAGTCACTCACACAGAAGGAAGTTGAGTAATTTTTGAAACGATGATTAATTCCAGTAAAGGAAGCGATAGTACAATTTATAAATAGCGAATATACAAAGATTATTCCTTCTTCCAATAAATAGCGCAAATTATAGAAAATCCGATTCACAAAACACACACAAGATCCGAAATGCTTAAGCAAGCAGTCAGGATGATCAGCATTATAAGCAATAAACAGCCCATCTCAATTAACAGAATGTATAAATTAACACTCAAATATGAGAAATACAGTTAATACATGCAGACTGCATATAAATATCATAAATATATTTGAACAGCAATTTAACAAGCTAACGAGCCGCAGACGCCGACAGCTGCGAATTAAGTTAGTGGCAAAAGCTGCGAGTATCTATAGAGGGGAACCCGTTTGAGCGCAAAGCTCTGCTTCATTGAGCTTTCGAGTTGAGCTTTCGAGCGTCATTGAGCTCACAGCGTCAACAGCTGCGAGGCCTGAATCAAGAATGCGAGTGACGTCAGACGTCAGAGTCTTCTCGCGCAGGTACGCAGGTGGGCACTCGGAGGTCTGGGACGTTGCACATCGGGGCAGAGCTGCGCTGCTCGTGACTCATGGCTAAGCTGCAAGAGAGAAATTCCCAAGGTATAGTCATTGGCGAATCAGTCCAAGCAGCAATCAGCCTCCGTCCCGGCCGCAGCGCCGTAACACTTCACTGGCTCATGGCTTGGAGCATCGCGGCGCGGTTCCACTTCATATCCACTCGCGAACCATGCACACGCATCAGAAGTGGAGTTGCAGCCAAAGAGAGCCACAAGGGGCAGGACCTCCCCCGCACCTCGACAGACGTGCCCAGGCATATGTATATAGTAAACAAGTTTTCTTTTGAGCGGTGCTAATAATTTCTTTGGCCGCAGGTGAAACCAGTTTCTCCACGTCGATGCTGTGTGGGGCCCAGTTCGGAAGAAATTTGATAGTAAGTGCTACGAGTCGATCTGCAGCTAATTCGCACAAAGCTTCCTAGGCACTCTTTTGGGTCAGTTTGGTAGCTTGAAGGGCTGCCCCACTTCCGAGGCACTCAATGAGCTGTGGTGCTGGGTCCAATTAAAATCCATTGTAAGCCGCAGTCTTGATTTTCATTTCAATGAAACTGTACGATATAATTTTTAATTATTTATGGCTTGTTGATAGGCAGACTTGCACGTTACCAGGCAACAGCTGAACCACTTGCCAAGTGGGCGGGGCGGTGTGCGAATGTAGCACGCGTAGAGCGGCAGCAACACGACTGCTCGAGCACTTGCAGTCTCATGTGACTGACAGACCGCAAAGAGCTGCCACAGCAGTCATTGAGAACAGACACATAGAGAGGGAGGGAGAGAGAGCAACACACAGAGAGAGGAGAAAATCACGGCCAAATCGGGCCCAGAGCCAGACGAGACACTCAAGCAGCGTCGCTCGGTTAGTAAAGCGCGGTTTGGCGTTCGGTTGAGACCTCTGCTAACGCATCTTCAGTTCGGAGTCGCTCGATCGCCATGTCCAAGTACACGAAGCTGGTCCGCGGCATTTGCGATCTGCTGCTGTGGGTCGCCCTGATCGGCGGCATTGTGGCGCTGGTGAAGCTGGTGAAGCCTTTCAAGCGCGGCTTCTTCTGCGGCGATGAGTCACTGGGCTATCCCCTGAAGGAGGGCACGATTGGGGTGGCGTTGCTCATTGCAGTGGCGCTGGCCGTGCCCACGTGCGTGATCATTGTGGTGGAGCTGTTCAAGCAGCTGCCGGGTCGGGAGGCGGGAGCCCGGGAGAAGCGCGACGGCTGCCGACTGCTGCACCGCATGGGGCAGCTGTACAAGCAGGCTGGATACTATCTCTTCGGCCTGGCCATGCTGTCGTTCGCCACGCTGCTCAGCAAGCTGTGCATCGGGCGCCTGCGACCTCATTTTTACGCCGTCTGCCAGCCGGTGCTGCCCGACGGCTCCAGCTGCAGCGACGCCCAGAACGAGGGGCGCTACATCGACAGCTACACCTGCAGCAATCCCAACATGACGGACTTTCACTTTGACCAGCTGAATCAGTCGTTTCCCAGCGCCCACGCCAGCCTCATGATGTACTCGATGCTCTACCTGGCCATCTACCTGCAGGCGGCGCTCAGCACGCGCATCTCCAAGCTGATGAAGCACCTGCTGCAGTTCCTCTTCGTGATGTTCGGCTGGTACGTGTCGCTGACCAGGATCACCGACTACTGGCACCACTGGTCCGACGTGCTGGCCGGCGCCCTGTTCGGCGTGCTGTTCGCCTGGCTGACCAGCGTCTATGTGGCCGATCTGTTTGCGTTCAAGCGCTGGGGTCGCGCTGGCTACTCGGCCAACACGCTGCGGAAGGGCCACGTGTCGCCCAAAAGCTCCACCAAGTCGCAGTCGAATGCCGCCGCAGTGGCTGCTGCTGCTGCTGCTGTGCCGCCTGCTCTGCCCGCCTACACCTTTGGCACGCTGCCCTACCTGGCGGCGCATCCTGCTCAAGCGCAGTATGCCCAGCCGTACCACAACTACGGATACGTGCCCTAATCCTAATCAGAATCTGCGGCGTCGCAGGCGAGGCAGGTGCTCCACGAACCCATTTACGCCTCCCAGCCGAACCAGTAGAAGCAGTAGAATAGAAGCAGTAGAAGAAGAGCGAGCAGTAGAAGAATAGTCTAACACAAATCTCTGTTTTGGTTATTATTATATTTTAGCATAATAAAATTCGATATTGATAGCATAATGAAGCGGAATGTTTCACTTGAAAGAAAGTTGATAATGATTCAAACGAATTCGGCAATGAGCTGTTGATCGAGCTTCGCCTCGAGTTAAATTAGAAAGCAAAGACCAATCGCAGTTTTACTCAAAGTTAGCTGAGTGGAACGCCTCAGCGAGGAGTGGAGCGGGCGGATGAGCACGCAACGCAAATCTCGATGCAGCTGAAGGATTTCTCCTGAAATATGTTTGGCCAATGAGCAGCTGGGATGCCAGACTCTCGTGGCTACTCGATTTCAATTCGGAGCTCAGAGCTGGCGACTTCTTTAATCGTGTTTAGAATGTCTCGCATAGTTTTACAGTTAGTTTTGCTTTTTTAGGCAGACATAATCGAATAGAGGTCTGAATGCGCCATAGATTCTCGGGAGCAGCAGATAGTCAACAAAGCCCATTTCAATAGCCAAAATTAGATATTGCCAAGCGGACAACAGCCGGTTGAGAGACGAGGAATAAATTAATAAAGATTTGCATACTTGAGCAATCGATAAGCAGCATGGGAATGCGACAGCCCGACTCGGCTGGGCTGTGCATTGTTACCGTCTTTTCGAGTAACAGCCCGACACAAAGAACGTGGCCAGCTCGGTGGCTGGGGGCTCTTAAACAAGTTTTGCATGGTGGCAACTGGCGCGGCCCTCGTAACTGCGATAGACATGTAAATTAGCCACGAGCCCAGCTGCAAGACACGGCGACCTCACCGCCAGCTAGCCAAGCAGCCAAGCAGCCAAGCAGCTAGTGTCAAAATGTGCGGCAATCCCAACACGCGACTGCTCTCGCGGCTCATCATCGACTTTCTGCTCCTCCTGGCCGTCTACGGCGCCGCGCTGGTGGTGCTGCCCCAGCAGCTGGCGACGGCTCAGCGCGGCTTCCACTGCAGCGACGCCAGCCTGCGCTACCCGTACCACCAGCCCTGGCTGACCAAGGCCCACCTGACCTTGGCGGTGGTGGCCTTGCCAGCGGCCTTCATCTTGGTGGTGGAGATACTGCGGGCTGCTCTCCTGCCCAGCTCAGCGGAGCTGCGGCAGCGGTTTGTGTTCGTCGGGGCGCGCATTCCCAGCTTCATCAGCGAGTGCTACAAGGTCATCGGCGTTTACCTGTTCGGCCTGGGCCTCACGCTCCTGGTGATTAGAGTGGCCAAGTTCTCCACTGGCCGGCTGCGTCCGTACTTCTTCGACGTGTGCCAGCCCAGCTGGGACGACGAAGAGGAGAGCAGGCAGAGCTGCGGCTCGCAGCCCTCAAGCAACGCCACTCGCTACATCGAGCTCTTCAGCTGCACTGAGTTCGCAGCCTCGCAGGAGCTGCTCGCGCTGGTGCGCCACTCGTTCCCCAGCGGCTTTGCGACCAGCACTAGCTACGCCATGGTCTTCCTGATCTACTACATGCAGGCCCGACTCTTTGCGCCCTGGTTGAGGGTGCTGCGCGCCACGCTGCAGTTGGCCTGTGCGGCAATGGCGCTGCTGGTGTGCCTGGAGCGCCTCTCCACCTACCAGAATCATCTGTCCGATGTAGTGGCCGGCCTGGCAGTGGGCTTCAGTCTGGCCTCGTTTGTGGTCATCTTTGTGGCCCACCTGTTCAGGGAGGTGCGAGTCAAGCGCCGCCAGTGGCCTCGGAATGAACAAATCTACGGCTATGCGGGCTACTACAATCGCGCCACATACGGATACTGAATGATTAATAAACGAAAAAACCCATTCGTAAACTAACTGTCTTTTAGCTGTAATTTAGCCGAGGGATCAACCCGTAGCCAAGCTCAGAACCAATCCCATCCATCAACGACAAGCTTACGATCCACACAGCCAGTGAAATACCTCCGATCGCAATCCACTCTCTCTGCACAACAAACCCTCTCTCTCTCACTCTCTCTCTTTCTTTATCTTGCTCTGCTTTGTTACGCTCCATCAACGAAAAGAAAAAGCAACAAGTGGGCAAGCGATTTGTTTACAAAGTCAACAAGAGCGAGCGCACGCATTTGTTTTCAATCAGTTGCGATCGGCGGTCGGCAAGCGCCGCTTGGAAGTTTCATTCGGATCGATGCAGTCGTAAAGCCAATAAAAGATCGTAGGGCTGGATATTGCGGACAATATGAGCCATAAATAGAAATGAATGCTGCTAATAGAAGTTATAAAACAGGCCTCAGCAAAGCATCGCAAGTGAGTACAAACTGAGGGTGGAGCAATCGTCACTTTTTCCGTTGTTTATTATTATGAAGTGCATCATCGGTTAAATTGATTTTGGCTTTAAGGCCTTTACTCACTCCATTTCAAGTATGCAGAAAATAAAAAACAAATAATAATAATAATGCATTTAACGGGCAGAGTTCAAAGTGCATTTTAAAATGCCAACAGTTGACCCGCACAAACAGAGGCAAAATGAAAATGAACATGAAAATGAAAAAAATAAGCGCCAGTTGCTGCATTCGAGTTACACTTACGTATGCTAAAAAACAACAAAAACAACAAAAAGTGAAGCATACAGAGACGAGAGCCTTAATTCAATCAAATGTCGCTTATTCATTCAATTAAAGGTCGCGCCATTTGACGTCCCACAACGACTACAAATACGGAATTCGAATACAAATACGAGTATGAGTATACGAATATGAGTACGAGCAGCCACTTAGCGGGTGGGTGGAGTCTCTGCATACATATATCAGAGTATGCTTTTATAATAGTTGACAGAGTGCTTATTGGAAAAGGGTATATTGGTGCCTCAGTCTGTCTGGGACTAGAGTGCCTATGAAACGTATAGTAGATTTAGTGAAGATGGAAATCCTATGATATTGCTCACTTCTGCAATGACGCATTCGGTTTTATTCCGCAGCCATAAGTTTTTGGCAAATATTTCAGATAACTTCTAGACAAAATCAGCAAAAAGTCACATTTAGGCTCTTTATTAGGCGTATCATGCTATCTGATGTCTGTAATCACTCTGAGTTTATCTAAATCTACGTTTTGTTTGGCTTATGAGTATGAGCGAGTATTACGCAGTCTGTTGCTGCCGACTGCACAGCTCAAATGAAGTTGTTTTAATGCAATTAACTGCTCAACTTTGTGCATGCAAAGTGCATGTCGCATTCGCTTTTGGGGACGCACTCGGCACTCGGCCCTCGGCCCTCGGCCCACTCGGCATTGGCCAGACGGCTTTACGGCGTTTACGAGCGCGGAACTCGGCCAAAGATCAGAGCGCACAATGGGGGCCATTCTTGTTCTTGGATCTGGAGGCGCAACAGATTAGCGTGTTCGCATTGCACTCTTAGCTGCCGCCTCATAGATGATAATGCGAATCTGCAATTGAGTGCGTGCAACGCGCCAATTCAATGCATCACTGGCTCCAAACAATAGGCGACTACTTAGTCATGAGCAGAGCGAGTGAGTCACCCCGCGGGGGCAGCTCTTGACCCACGATGTGCGCTCCATGGCAGGTGAAAGCGATAAACACAGCGAACGGCAGCGACGGTTTGCCAGTCAGTTTTATCACTCAAATAAGCTGAGCATCAATGAATCGGCACAAACCCCGTCCAAGTGACGAAGCTGGCGCTTTAGTGAGGGTCGGCTATCTGGAACACGCTTTTATTTATCTTATCAAAATGATCTTGAGCGGCTCTCTGCTTGCGCTTATCAAGTGCCCACGAAATTGCTACACTGAGCGAAGGGTCGCAGTGCTGCGAAATTGTCATGTGTGCGATTCTTAGATAGCTCCACTTTTCGGTTCTACGTGAGTCTAATTTATCAATGCTGCTCTTCTTTCAGTGCACACCCGCCGACTGCGAATACAATCCGAATTGCTTGTAGTCTAATCTAGAACTAAGCTAACTGCATGCACAATAAACTAAGAAAGAGACAGAGAGAGCGAGAGAAGTGAAGGAGAGACATTAAACACACTCAATTTGCGCTGAGAGGAGCTCCGTCGCGCATGAAATGATCGTTAAATTAAAAGAACGTTACCCACTCGAGGCCAGCTCAGTCAGCCGCTGACAACGAACCCGCAACGACGCCAACGAATTCGTCGGGTACAAAAAAAAAAAAAAAAAAAAAAAAAAAAAAAAAAAAAAAAAAAAAAAAAAA